GTGTCGACCAACACTTGGTGGTTCGGCGGCTAAGAGGTGTTTCACAAACCTCATCCACACGATTTGGACACCGCAAGAACCTACCCACAAGTGAGGTAACTCAATGACACGAGCAATTTACTAGAGTTACCTTTCGGCACTCCATTGGGGAAGGTACAACTCCCCTCACAATCACCGGAGATGGCCACAAACAATCACCAACTTGTGCCGATCCTCCTCCGCTACTCCAAGCCGTCTAGGTGGTGGCAACCACCAAGAGAAACAAGCAAAACCCGCAGCGCAACACGAATGCCAAGTGCCTCTAGATGCAATCACTCAAGCAATGCACTTGGATTCTCTCCCAATCTCACAATGATGATGGATCAATGATGGAGATAAGTGGGAGGTGTTTGGTTAAGCTCACAAGTATGCTATGTCAATGAAAATGTGCAAGAAAGTGAGCTTGAGCCGGCCATGGGGCTTAAATAGAAGCCCCCACGAAATAGAGCCGTTGGCTCTTTGGCAAACTGCGCACCGACCGGACGCTGCACCGGACGCAGCACCGGACGCGCCGTTCATGAATACCGAACATGTCCGGTCACTATACCGGACACGTCCGGTCGCTTCCAGACCGCCACGTGTCAAGTTCAAACCAATGTAGTCGTTGCTGCCAACACTACTGACGATCGGACGCTCGATAAGAGACTGACCGGACGCTAAACATCTACGTCCGGTCGAGTACAGTAAGCAACCGAGGACGATCGGACGCGTCCATCAGAAACCGACCAGACGCTGAGCCTTAGCGTCCGGTCGAGTACAGTAAGCATCCTTCATCGACCGGACGCGTCCGGTGACTTCGGACCGAACGCACCCAGTGTCCGATCAACTGCTTCACCGAACACCGAATCTACTGACTCAAACCGGATGTGTCCAGTGTGGCGACCAGACGCGTCCGGTCGCAGCATTCGTCGTTAAATACCGGACGTGTCCGGTCACTATACCAGACACGTCCGATCAACTATGATCTGCGCGACTAACTCCTTTTCTCCTCTAACTTCTTCACCCTTGCTCAAATGTGCTATCCACCAAGTGTAACACCTTGTGCACATGTGTTAGCATATTTTCTCGAACATTTTCAAGGGTGTTAGTGATCCACTAGATCCTAAATGCATATGCAATGAGTTAGAACATCTAGTGGCACTTTGACAACCGCATTTCGATACGAGTTTCACTCCTCTTAATAGTACGATTATCTATCCTAAATGTGATCACACTCTCTATGTGTCTTGATCACTCAAACAAAATGGCTCCTATCATTTTACCTTTGCCTTGAGCCTTTTGTTTTTCTCTTTCTTCTTTTCATGATTAAGTACTTGATCATCAACATTCCATCACCATTGTCATGATCTTCATCATTGCTTCATCTCTTGGAGTAGTGCTACCTATCTCATAATCACTTAGATAAACTAGGTTAGCACTTAGGGTTTCATCAATTAACCAAAACCAAACTAGAGCTTTCACCGGCGTAGCTGGCGATGTCCATGCAGTGAAGTGTGCCCACTTAGTCCTCAGGCACGAAGAATCCGAGCGCCGGCGGCGTATGGCGTTATCTGGTCAGCGTTGACGAAATTGCCAGGCGCTCGAGCTATCGTCATGGAGGCGGTCGCGGTTGTCACGACGTCGTTCTTCGTGGATGCGGCAAGTGGTCGAAGTCGATCTTCATTGCGATGTGGGAACAGACCATGGGCGAAGGCTCCCGAGTCCGATGCTGCAGGTCTTGGCGGCGTCGACGTCGGATTAGGAAGATATACGTCGAGAACAAGCAAGGGAAATCATGATTGCCTGCTTAAGGTGTACGTATATGCATATACGTGTACAAGCCTTAATTAGCTTTCATGCCTTTAATATAGTACTCTTTCCTTCTTCATGGCTAGACATGCATGGCAGGTGCATCAAGACCAGATTCTTGGGAAACGCCGATGGCATCGGCAAGTGACGTGTAGACGACGGGGTCCTCTAACGCCGGGTTGCCGCTGGACGATGGTGATGAGATCGACGCTTGTATTGAGATCAAGATGTAGATGAATTCTACATGCATGCGTGCATGCAGATGTAGATATATCAAAAACCGGATCGCGTGGCCCTTCACAAAGGCATGCTAGATGTGTACGCCTCCTCCTGGGTGACGTCGGCTTCGAAGTGTGTCATGGCCAAGTCCGATCTATCGGGCTGTCCCAGGCTACAGAGAAAGCACAGGGCCACTGCTAGACTCGTCTTGCCATGACACCCCACTGCGAGAGGCGCCGTGATGTTGCCTTGATCAGCTGAGTGACCACAAACGACGTACATCTTGAGGTACGCCATCTAGTTCGCCATGGATCAAGCGCCATGATCTCGTGGGCTGGGCCACCTCTGATGGTGCGGCCCATGTCTTGTCTTGTGGATACCGGGGGCCATACCCCCACAGCGGCTCTTTCTGACACAGTGGCATGCACAACTGATCGGAGCGCCCGGTGACCCTGACCGGAGCGTCCGGTCAGCCCGCAGAGTGATGACTCAGCGTCCAAACGGTATGTTTTGAATGAGGGGGTTTAAATACCTGCTCCACTCATCCAAGGGAGGTCTCTTGCCTATTTGTTTAGCTGAGAAACACCTTTGGAGTGCAATGGAGAGCAAGAGCCTAGTGAGGTGATTGAGATTTGAGAATCCAAGATTAAGGACCTCATTAGTGCATAGAGAGTAGCAAGTGTGCATCCACCCTTCTCGTTAGGCCTGTCTTAGTCAAGTGAGAGTTTGTGTTTGTTACTCTTGGTGATCACCATCACCTAGATGGCCCGGTAGTGATTGGGAGCTTGGTGATCATCCGGCGGAGCTTGTGGATGACCCAAGTCATGTTGTGAGCGGTTGTGGGCGATTCACCGTGACGAAGTGTCTAAGAATCAGCCCGTAGAGAGCACCTGATCCTTGCGCGGATCAAGGGGGAGCTACACCCTTGCGCGGGTGCTCCAACGTGGACTAGTGGGGAGTGGCAACTCTCCGCACACGGTTAAAGACATCCTTACAAAGGCCTCTAAAGATGGTGTTTCTAACCTTTGCATTCTACTTCTCGTAGTTAACCTCATCGCCTTGAAGGTTGGCAGGATCCTTAGGTTTTGGGAAGCCTTGTGAGGCGGCTTTAAGAACTCCAACATCTAAAGCCTCTAGGTATGCTTCCATGCAAATTTTCCAATAAGGAAAATTATCTCCCACAAAGATAGGAGGAGGTCCATCCCCGTGGGACATCTTGCTCTAGGCGGTTAAGCCTAATTTAGGGAGCACGAGGCTTCGATACCAATTGAAAGGATCAAGATGTCCAAGAGGGGGGGGGTGAATTGGGCTAATTCTAAATTTTTGCAATAATTAAGTCCTACACTTAGCCCACTTCACCCCTTGTGCCTAGAATGTGTTTCTATTGTTCTATCGCATAAAAATTTTACACCCTAGGTTCCAATCCTACTCTAGCATGGCAATTCTAAGAATGTAAAGACAAGAAATAAATTACTCAAATATAAATGCTCAAAGTAAAGAGAGGGAAAGGAACACGGCGACGTTTTCCCAAGATATTGGAGAGTCGCCTCTCCCCACTAGTCCACGTTGGAGCACCCACGCAAGGGTGTAGCTCCCTCTTGATCTGCGCAAGGATCAAGTGCTCTCTACGGGCTGATTCTTTGACACTCCATCGTGGTGAATCGCCCACAACCGCTCACAACTTGAGTTGGGTCATTCATAAGCTCCGCCAGATGATCACCAAACTCCCAATCACCACCAAGACGTCTAGGTGATGGCGATCACCAAGAGTAACAAGCACAAACTCTCACTTGACTAAGACAAGCCTAATGAGAAGGGTGGATGCACACTTGCTACTCTCTTTGCACTAATGAGGCCTTAATCTTGGATTCTTAAATCTCAATCACCTCACTAGGCTATTGCTCTCCTTTGCACTCTCAAGGATGTTTCTCAGCTGAACAAATGGGCAAGAGACCTCCCTTGGACGAGTGGAGTAAGTATTTATACCCCTTATTCAAAACATAACGTTTGGAGGCTGAGTCATCACTCTGTGGGGTGACCTGATGCTCTGGTCAGGGTGACCGGACGCTCCGGTTAGTTATCCCCGCCACTGTGTTAGAAAGAGCCATTAAGTTCTGACCGGACTCTGACCTGCGTCCGGTCATCACTGACTGGACACGTACTGTCACGAAAACAGCTCTCTAGAACCTTACTGATGTTGACCGGACGCTGGCACCCAGAGTCCGGTCACTTCGTTGTTCAGCGTTCGGTCAGTTACCAGATCCTGACCAGCGTCCGGTCAGCACTGACCGGACGCGTCCAATCAGGAATCTCCTTCTCTAGAACCTCTCTGGAGTTGACCGGATGCAGGCACCCAGCGTCCGGTCACTTTTCACTTAGCGTCCGGTCGTAACCAGACGGCTCTAGTTGATCAAATGAACTGACCGGACTCTCCCTTCAGCGTCCGGCCACAACTAGACCAGCGTACGATCAGTCATTTGACCCTCCATTCACTTTCAACTCAAAATCATATGTGAATGAAGTTTGCTCCAATTGATCTTAGGGCTACTCCGGAGCTACCTAGTGCTAGATATGATAAGTGTGCACCACACCTAACCCACTAGACTCACCTAGATCAAGCTACCAGTCCATACCCTCTTTAATAGTACGACCAAAGGAAAAACAAAGTCCTAAACTACTCTAAGTGTCTCTTCAACACCAACCGACACTTAGAACTAGTCCATCCTTAACCTTGTCGTCCATCCTTTGAGAACCAAAATGATTTTCATCGTAGGGGCATGACAACCATGATTGCCCAATCAATTGTCATTAACATGACCTAACTTAAATTGCCTCTGCAAAACATATGTTAGTCATAGTAATCTCATATTGTCATTAATCACCGAAACCCAACTAGAGGCCTAGATGCTTTCAGAAGTGAAAGCCCTTTAGAGACTGAAATCATCCAGGCTGCAATGGAGGCAAACATTCACGAATTCATTAGTGGTCTACCAGAAGGGTATGTCACTGTTGTTGGAGACAAAGGGAGCCAGCTTTCAGGAGGGCAGAAACAGAGGATTGCTATTGCAAGAACAATACTAAAGAGGCTTGCCATTCTGCTTCTTGATGAGGCAACCAGCGCACTTGACGGTGAATCTGAGAGGGTGGTTATGAGCTCTTTAGGGGCCAAAGTGTGGAAGGACAAAGATGAGCAAACCAGTATGATTACAACTATCACAGTTGCACACAGATTGTCCACGGTCATAAATGCAGATACGATAGTTGTGATGGAAAAGGAAAGGTTGTTGAACTTGGTAATCACCAAGCGTTGATCTCCGCTTAAGATGGCGTTTACTCAAGATTATTCCACTTGCAAAGCAACATGAAAGATTGACCACCATCTATTCAAGTTCCAATGTGGCCAAAGACCAAAGACACTTAGCAAGAATAGCTTTAGGAGATTAAGCATCGCTTAAATGCACTTGCTGTCACTTCACAAATTGTAATAACATAGCTATCTCATATACCGATGATGCATAGTCCATCAGTTAGGGCAAAAAACAACTACTATTTATTACTTGAATGATATCTGTTTGGAGCGCCTCCACTGCCATATGTTTAACCTTATTCTTCCTATGCAATATAAGGCTAGCCAAAATATTGAAGCTAGAGAACACTATTTAAGCCAGGAAAGGGATTTAATAATATACTAATATAAGCTGGTTCCCCTGCATGCGGTCCATCAACTAGTTTAACCATTTTTTAAGGTTGAGGACAACTTGAACAAAGCTCTCTACAAGAAACTAGCTGAATATCTAATTTTTTTGTAAATAAATAGGCAACAAATATAACATAGAAAGAAAGAAAACATGATGAACAAAAAAAATTGAGCTACCTAAAATATTACATGCCAAAAATAGAACTACCCAAATTTGGTACAATGGACATTACATAAAAAAGCTGAGATGCTTTATTTCCAATGAACTATTAATTAACTATGAATCTATAAGATACAGCAAGTTCACATAATGATCATACTATTCACCCAGATCAAAACTGAAATCAGAGAATCAGACTGTTGGATGACTATTCACTATTGTGAAAGTTCCAGGCACTAACATGATGGCATGTGGTTTTAGATGACGTAATAAGACTTGCAGCAGAAACTACCTTGTTTATTACTGGACACCTTGCTCTTGTAGTCTTGATTATGCAATTTCCCTTTTTGTACGCAGTTGAAACATCAAACACATTTAGCAAAGCATCATGTATACGTACGTGGAAATAACCGGTGTATTTATTTGGAATTTGGAAGGACTAAGGAATATGTAGACTAAGATCGGGTTCCAATAGCAAAGTGGCATTGCTTTTTTTTTTAACGGGAAATACAACAGGGGAAGCTCTTACTGTAGGATTTTATTAAATAAAAACAGAAACATGTATAAAAGATAGAGAAATAACAACAAACCAACCAGCCGGAGGGCTGAGGTAGCCACGGCGGGAAGGGAACCGCATGCCAAAAACCAGGGAGGCCCAACAAACCAACCAGCCGGAGGGCTGAGGTAGCCACGGCGGGAAGGGAACTGTAGGCCAAAAACCAGGGAGGCCTAATGTCGGGGACCTAATACCGGGGTATCCAATGAGGTGGAACTAATACCATCGAACGTTGACACTTTCGGTCAGACAAGAACACTACTGCGCTTCTTGCCCGAACGACGGGAGATTGGTTCCGCCTTGCCCGACCCCCGAGGGCTAGGCTCTGCCTCGCCCGATGGCTAAGGGCAGGCTCCGCCTCGCTCGACGTCCGAGGACGGGCTCCGTCTCGCCCGACGTCCGGGGGCGGGCCCCGCCTCGCTTGATGGCTAAGGGCTAGACTCCGCCTCACCCGACAGCTAAGGGCTAGACTCCGCCTCGCCCGACGGCTAAAGGCTAGACTCCGCCTCGTCCGACGGCTAAAGGCTAGACTCCGCCTCGCCCGACGACTGCACCCTGATCCTTCATAAAGAGGAGCATAGGGTACGACAGGACATTCGAGTCAACCACAGTATCGAGGGCCATGCCCTATGCGCCTGCAGGAAGGTACCGTCAGGATACGATGGGACGGGCGCTTTAAACCCTTTCCGACATAACAGTGCCCGAATAGTATTGTAGGCGACGACTTTCGTCCCATAGTGTAGTAGGCTCCGCCTTTAGCCCTCGGGCGCGGACACTAACATAGGCATACGACAACCGCTACAATCCAAGGAAGAACTCACATCAGCTACAGTAACATGCGTATAGTCATTTCCCCGTCTACCCCCCGCAGAGTCATGGCTCGGCGCCCTGACACCCCGCACCATCTGTCGGGAGAGGACAAGACGTAACCACTCACTGAAGCAAGGCCAGGGCGTGGCCCTGTCGGGGTCAGCGGACGCGCTATCCCTGCCATGATCTGCCATGACAGTGGAACAGGCTCAAAGGAAAAAGGAAAGCTTGGCACCTCCGAAGGGGGACCACTACCGTAGGTTTTTTCCTCTTTCTCCCATCTGTAAACCTCCTGCTCCCCCCTTGGTCTATAAAAGGGAGGGCAGGACACCCCATGAAGAGAGAGATCAGTTCGACACACACACACACAACACATCACACGTATAGCCAAGCAGCGACCAAGCTCTTGGCGCCCTTTCGACCACTCCATCAGAGACTTGGGACCTTTCCCTCTCTCGACCATTTATACCCCCTACTACGAACCTTTTTCGGTACTAATAACACGAGCAGCAGCAGACTGGACATAGGGACATTCGTCCCGAACCAGTATAAACCTTGTGTCCTTTAGTGCACCATCCGGGCCTAACGCGCGACAATTATAAATTTACTTGCCGGTGTTTGTTCGAAACACCGACAGTTGGCGCGCTAGGTAGGGGCCTTTGCGCGTTCCAAATCAGGCCTCGGACGGCTAACCATGCAATCAGCTGGGTCCCGGGCGCACACATGCATTTCAGTGACCTGGACTTCATCGTCACGGTGGGAGGAGAGTTGGTGTTGGCCCATCTCGCCATCCAGTCTCTCCCCTCCATCGACTCTAGCTACAGGAGGCTTGAGTGCCAGCCCGGTGTCTCCCTCGGACCCTAGCCATCCATGGAGGACACAGGCCGCCTCACCCTCTCTCTGGAACACTCTGCACGGAGCGCCCCGATGGCGTTTCCGTTCGGTCACCGCAACGCCGCAGCAATCATTAGCCACCTTGTGGCACAGCGCACAATCCCATCCCCCGCGAACAACGAGTTCGTGGGGATGATCAAAAGCGTCATGGAATCCCTCCACGGCCTCGTCGCGGAAGGTCCGAGGTCGGACTCTGGCTCTGACTCCGGCAGGGGGAGCCATCATCCCTACCAGGAATGTTTCATGGCGGAAACCTCTGAAGGACACATCAAAAGTGTCTTCGCGGAGGAGACTACCCCAGCAGGCAACCTCGGCGGTGCGACCAAAAGGGGGACAGCGGCCCCACCTCACATAGGGGTGGAGCAGCTGAGAGCCCGAAAGCGGGAAATAGACAAAGCCGGATAATAGCTTGTTCGGGAGTATGCAGAGGTCGATCGAGAGATCGAACGCCATGGAGACGGTGGGTGCGCACACGCCGTGGCCCGCGATGTGAATCGAAGGACCATTGCTGACGATGAAACCCTTCCTCACTACGACCGGGCAAGCCAGAACATCACCACCGCAACGGCTTTGCTCCATGGCCTTCCAGAGGCCGCAATGCCTGAGGATCGTTAGGCCCACCGCAAAATTCGCACGCTGCTTGAGCGTGTGGCAGCGCAGCAGGCGGAAAGCTCATTGTCTCAGCGGCGCAGCTCGACACCAGCTAGTGTACGCCCTTGATGCATCCCGCCAGGGACGCATCAGTCCACCAAGCACCACAAGGCGCCAGGCAGCGTGCTGCGATCCTAGTACATCAACGTCTCGGCCACAACCGCGACGCACGCAGCACCATCGACGCCCGCAGATGAGCCTACAGCGACCAACGGGAAGGAGCCCACCGTGGCTATCATCCTCAATGCGGCAGACGCTATGATAGCAGCAAGGACTAGAGCCCAAGCCCCAGCCTGCCAAGGCCTCAGGCCTTCAGCTGACACATCCTCAACGCTGCATTCCTGCCAAGGTATCGACCACCTACCAATATCCCTAAATACTCTAGGGAGACAAACCCCAAACTTTGGCTTGAAAACTATCGGCTTACCTATCAAGCCGGTGGTGCGGATAATGACGACTTTGTTATCTGCAACCTTCCACTATTCTTGGCTGATTCGGCCTGGGCGTGGTTGGAACACCTGGTGTCCGACGCAGTCCAGAGTTTGGCAGATCTGAAGGAGATCTTTGTGGGAAACTTCCAAGGCACGTACACACGCCCTGGGAACCCATGGGACCTCAAGAACTACCGTTAGAAGGCCGGTGAGATGTTCCGCAGGTACATCCGGCGCTTGTCCTGGCAATGCAACGAGCTCCCTAACGTCGCCGACGCCGACATAATAGGAGCCTTCCTATCTGGGACGACCTACGAGTCCTTGGTTCATAAGCTGGGACGCAAGGGCCCATGAACCACCAAGGAACTCCTGGACATTGCCACTAGACACACCTTAGGAGAAGAGGCAGTCGGAGCGATCTTCGTTTGCCTCAAGGGCAAGGCAAGGCGAGACGAGGGTGTCGACGAAGGCACCTCCAATCGTTCCGCCAAAAGAAAGAATAAGAAGCAGCGGTTTGAGGACCCCCTCGTGGCTGCTACTGACTGCAAGGGTGGTTGGAAGCCCACGGAGGGCGCTCCTAACCACTTCAAAAAAATGCTCGAAGGGCCATGCCCAAACCACGCCTTTCCCGTAAAGCATCTGCTCAAGGACTGCGGCCACATCTGGAAGTTCTTGTCCAGAAGCTCCAACAAGGGAGAGCAGGGGAAGGTACATGCCCCCACTATGGACGACACTGAGGAGAAGGACGATGGCTTTCCAACGCCGAATGGCTACCTTATGATCTTTGGAGGATCGGCGGCCTGTGACTCCAAACGCCGTCAGAAGGTCGCCTGCCGCGAGGTCTACACGGCCGAACCGGCCACACCTCCCTTCCTCCGGTGGTCGGAGTCCGCCATAACCTTCGACCAGACCGACCATCCAGATGCCATCCTGCACCCGAGGAGGTTTCTGCTGGTCATCGACCCGATCGTTGGCCTAAAGCGACTCACCAAAGTATTGATGGACGGAGGCAGCGGCCTCAACATCATGTACGGAAAGGCACTCGACGAGATGGGCGTCGACCGGACGAACCTCCGCCCAACCCGAGCGCCTTTTTCACAACATCGTGCCCG